AGGTGGTGTGCTGTCCTTTCTTCAACAGCTGATGGATAGGAAGTTGGCATTCAGCACGATTAAAACGTACGCTGCAGCCATCTCTTCCTGCCACGAAGGGTTCGGAGACAGAACAGCTTTTAATCACCCGCTGATGAAGCGGTTTCTAAAAGGTGTACAAAGACATAGGCCGGTTTCACGCCCACTCGTTCCACAGTGGGATTTAACGTTGGTCCTGCGAGCCCTGATCAAGGCTCCTTTTGAGCCTCTGGATCAAGTTTCACTTAAATTCTTGTCTCTTAAAACAGCCCTGCTGCTGGCTTTAACATCCGCTAAGAGGGTGAGTGATTTATCGGCCCTCTCTGCCGCTCCGTCATGTCTCAGAATCCAGGCTGACGGTAGTTCAGCTGAATTAAGACCAAACCCAGCCTTTATGCCTAAAAGCATCACGAGCTCTTTTAAATCGAGACAGATATCGTTGGAGGGATTCTTCCCTCCCCCCCACAGATCAGAAGAAGAAGCATCTTTTCATCTTCTCTGTCCGGTGCGGGCGTTATCGTGTTACATAGCGCGCACAGCTGCAATGCGTCAAACTCAACATCTGTTTGTGCATTATAGAGATGCGTCCGCAGGCCGCCCGTTATCCACCCAGCGCTTGTCACACTGGCTGTGTGAGGCCATTTCTGAAGCCTACAGAGCATCAGATTTAGAGCCTCCTGTCAATCTCAAAGCACACTCAACCAGGGGTATCGCATCTTCGACTGCTCTGCATAATGGTATGTCAATGCAGGACATTTGCACTGCGGCTGCATGGTCAACACCCTGCTCATTTATTCGCTTTTACCTACGTGATGTAACGGCTCGTTCCATGACACATTCTGTCCTTAGTGCTCTAACAGAATGAATATTGTTGTTCTCATGGAACTCTGTTTAAACTCACATCTGTCTGCATGCATTACAGTGTGAGATGTTGTTATCAGTCACAAGTTGTGTCTGTGATTTTGGTTCTATTGTCACTAATCAGTTCATGACTATTGTTACCAATCAGTTCATTGTTCAATAATCAGTTCATTGATATTAATCTGTTTATACTGTTCAATCATGAATCAGTTGCTTCATGCCCCCCCCCCCCTCCTCTTTTCAATATCTTCCCCGTTGAAGTTTTTTTCCGGGGCATTCATGCTTTGTCAGAACGCATAGTTGCACAACATGCGTCTTTGTAGGGCACACAATTACGCGATGCGTAGTTATGCACACGGGGAGCTGAGTGACAAGACGTTTTTTGGGCAAGCTTTCGTTCTTACTGTGTTCGAATGGACCCAGTGAGGCGAGGACCACATCCGCTTCGCCCTTAACCCACTAAGCGACAGCCTTAAAGGGCGAAGCCTATATGAAATAGAACGTTGGTTACGTACTGTAACCCCAGATTCTATGAATATAGGCGTAGCCCTTTAAGCGTCGGGCCTCACTGGCTCCTGAATAGCTGAAGAAAAGATTAAGCTATTTGGGAGCAGATTACCCGCTCTTAATGTAATTTATACGGATCGGGTGGGGCCCACACAGCAGGTGGGCGTGGACTAATTTTTTCAGTATGATGCTTGCGCATAACGGGATAAACCCACTAAGCGACAGCCTTAAAGGGCTACGCCTATATTCATAGAATCTGGGGTTACAGTACGTAACCAACGTTTTTCATATGTGTGTGTATTTATTATGTATGTGATTCTGTCTGGAACAAGTCCCTTTTGTAAATGAGTCCTCATGGCTCAATGAGACTAGCCAGTATAAATAAAGGTTGAATGAATATATTTTGCATCCCCACTAAACACCCCTAACATTGACCAATCTTCCTGATATGAAACATATTTAACACAATATGCTGTCTTTCTACAATGTTAAAGATGAACTCGGGACTGTTGCACGTTTTGTGGGTTTCTAGATGTTAACCTGAAGTCATACAGTATCATTCCATTCTACAAGGCGTGCTTTTTGTTTATTCTCAGTGATAAATTAGCCATGTCTGTGTTGTATCTTCCCTCACCTCATCTGTATGACAGGACAGAGATAGCAGAGAGCACACCAGGCCAACATAAATGTCTCGCAGCTGCCAGACCTTCACAGAGTTTAGATTTAAGAGTTAAAACAAGAGCTTATTAAACCCTAACACAGAACACATGGATTTAAACATTACATCAAGTGTGATTTATGTCTGCCGACACAAAGTAAGTTGTTCACCTTCTTGTGTTACGTGGAAAATAAATCGAGCATCTCAGAGATTTATCTTTGCATTTCTGATTTTTATGGCATTAAGGTTTTGATGTGGTTCAGCTGAAGTGGACGTGTTGTTTTTCCTCTGTCTTCTTCTGATTTGTTTTCGCCTCATTTTGAATCATCACCTGCGAAAGCAAAAGGCAATTAAAGCTGGCTGAATGTTTTAATGCAGACGAGCGTCACCTGACGCTGAACAAACAAAGAACACCTGGCTAGCAACAGCCATCACCATAGATGCATTTTTTTTTTTTTACTTTTCCATCAGCTCCAGTAAACAGCTGTTACAGACAGCAAATATATTAAGCCAAATAACTTGCATGTTTACATTAATTAAATTGTATATACCATTGAGAAGAGAAAGAAGACCAATATAGAAAAGTGCAGTTTTGATATTGTCAATGACATATGTCAGTATTTAGAAAATATGAGGTTGAATCATCAAGTTCCATATTTAAATTGTCATTTCAAAGTGAAATTTATACTTTTTGAACATTTTCATATAATCCTACCCATGCATGATGAGCTTTGTGGATCTTATCTATGTTCCATTACAGCAAGGGTGACAGGTGGCATTTAGACCAAACACCCCACATCCTCCCTTTAGCCAATATTCACCTGAGTTAATGTTAGACCACTTCGTGCACTCTGCTTGTGTTTTGTGGTTGCAGTGACAGCTGCCTCCCTTGAAAGTCCTGACGATATCTGATGGACTCAGGTGCTTGGACGCCAGATGAAGTCATCCAGCTATGCATGCCGTCTAATTGACAAGCAGATGCAATTCTCTGTGGGCTGTCAGCAATACATGCACACACACCTGATGTCTCCTGTTTTGGCCATTACCTCTGGCACGGCAAATGACAGACCCTGCCACATCTTAAAATTGTGTGAACACAGCTGCAACCTAATTTTTCAGTTCCCTGCCAGAACAGATCACATAATAAGTAACTGTTGCCATCTACTTTATTTTGGTAGCATTTTATATACCTGTCAGTCAAAAGCAGTTGGTCTTTATAAGGATAACACCTTATTTGAATAAAAAAAAAAGTCTGTTTTCTGTAAACTACATGCAAATGTGTCAATGATATTGTGAATACATTGAATCCTAGCGTTTCAGTGTAAGTGCATATGTGTGTGTTTGTGTGGGCAAAATTGTTTACATGGTAACAGTGTTGACTCTAAGGCCATATGCCCCGTTGATTCTGTTATTGAGATGTCAGTCTAATTTCCTGGCCATACGGACAGAGTGTGCAGAGCTTTGGAACCCGTGTGTGTGCGTACCGCAGGCTGCTTCCTGCGGTGCACTGGCAGACCGCATGTGTGGTGGGTATGGCAATCCAAATGTCTGCGGAGATCCCTCCTTCCTGCCCCCTGAGTTGGTGAACAGGTGGAGCGATGGCAGCCAGGCTAGAGGGTTGAGAGAGAGAGGAAGGGAAAGAGGGAAAGAGGTTGAAGAGGACCTCAAAGACAACAAAAGGAAAAAGAAAGCCTAAGCTGTATAATGAGTTAGAGACTTGACAGATGAGTTGCACAGGGCGTGCTCAAGAGAGTTTGGGAAAGGACACAGAAGTCAAATGGGGCTGTGAGATACGTTAAAACTGTAACAAGGTTACAGGCATATAGTCATTTAGTATTCCCCTGCATTTTTTTCTGAATTAATATGCAAATATTTTGTATGTTTTGTGCAAACAAAAATCTAATATATTCATTCAACTGAATTATTTAATATTCCTTTTGCATTACCTATTGAAAAACTTTCCATCTTAACCCTTTATAAACTATAACCCTATGTAACCCTTTATAAACTATAACCTTATGTAGCTGTAGGCCATGAAGAGTTCATAGCTGCGGAGAAGCTACAAAGGGCACCATTGAACTCCTAAAACTATGAAACTTCATTTTAAAAGCTGCACTCTTCTGACCTATGACCCGCGGGACCATGCTTGTCTATTAATCGTCAATTCTTGAAGCAGTTAGAAAAGTCTGATCCACTCTAAATGGAGACAGGACCAAGCTTTCATGGATCTTCGGCAGACAAAGGCAGCTTCTGATCCCACATCTCCCCACTACCACACCCCCCGTTGTGCTTTCTCCAAACCCCTTATCTGGTGGTCTCATTCAACGTCAATAGCATATTGAGGAGTTGCGCTTAACATTCAAAAGCTTTGCCGATCTTGTTAGTAAAGCGTGAAATAGCTCCGTCCCTTTCTCTCTGTGTGTCTCATTTCTTTCTTTACTCCTCTATTTGCTGGGGTTCTCAATGAGGGGGCATTCTACTCCCACACAATAGACTTCTTCAGCATTTCTTCTGTTATTGATCTGAATGGGTGAAAGGGGCTAAACTTTAGACATCTGGTTCTTTGATGGGGGCAGGGCAGTTGATACCATGGCAGTATGTGTTGTATGATGTGAAGTGGGTTTGGATGTGATGGGGGGTGTGTCACACTTTGTTTTCTTTTGCTTCTAAAAACCTGAAAGCTTTTGCATTAATTTAATTTAGTGAGCTGATACTTAAACTGGCCTTTTTGTTTGTTTTCATGTCTTTTTACACTCCTCATTGGAATGTTTTTTTTTTTTAATCTAAATTTACGTGTTAGTGTGCTGCTTATTCATTATTCAAATATACATACAGGTACTCTTTCATGTCTACTTGCAGCAGTCATTTTGAGACACGTTCATTCAGTGCTTTGACTACAAGATGACAGTTTTTAATAGTTTTTGACCCATAACTAACCTTTTACTTTTCTCTGCAGACTGTAGAGAGAAGAAGAGCCCTGCCATGCCCGGTTCGCCTGTGGATGCTAAGACTCATTCCAGATCAGCCCCCAGCAGCAGTGCCAGCTCCACTATGCCACCCCTGCCTTCTGTCAACCCCAGTGGCCCTCGACCAGCTTCATTTTCCACAACAGCATGTAAGACCAATTCCAAAGTCACTATACATTTGTCTGTTTACTTGTCCACCCTTCTAAACCCAAGTCTGCCTCAGTTTTTCTTTACAGCCTAAAACTGCAAGCCATTTGGAACTTGTCACTCGTTTTTACTCATTTGTTCACTGTGCTTAGTTGGGAGCTTAGTCAGAGTTTATTCTAAATTCAGCCCTGTTTATCTCACCTCCACTCCCCCAGTGTCCAATGGGAATCATCATTCCCCACCGACGCTGAATGCAGTGCCATCTCCACCACAGCGTTATAGCAACGGACCGTCCTCCTCCTCATCCTCCTCACTAGCTAATCAACAGCTTCCGGCCACCTGTGGGGCTCGCCAGCTGAGCAAGTTGAAACGTTTCCTGACCACGCTGCAGCAGTTTGGCAATGACATTTCTCCTGAGATTGGAGACAGCGTCAGAAGCCTAGTTCTGGCCCTTGTGGTAAATTCTTTGATGTCTAAGGAAGACAAGAAACCGCAGTAGTGTTTGTAGACATTTGTCTATTCTTTGCTTTCCTAACCTTCACTTTGCCTGTCTCCCAGAATTCAACAGTTACCATTGAGGAGTTTCACACACGTCTTCAGGAGGCCACCAACTTTCCCCTACGACCCTTTGTTATTCCTTTTCTCAAGGTAAATATGTCCTCCCTGTGGGATAGGCTCTGGCCTGGCAACCCTGAACAGAATTATGCATGTTACAGAAAATGGATGGTTAAATGGAGTGTTTGCAAAATGCAATGCAATCTTCAATCAACAGGCTTTTGTAGGGTTTTTGATAACTGAACATGTTTTTTTTTTACTAGTGGTTTAAAATATAAATCCAAATTTTCTCTTTCAACTTTCCTGGCAGAAGATGAGTGTGTGTTAAACAATCTTGTGAGGACCTTTGTACTGGGAGTTTGCAACAGTATACATTTTTGCAGCTCCCCTCAGTAAAGCAGCCCATAAATCTTCACTGAGTTGTACCTCTGTACTTTAAACACTCAAAATTTATTTTTCCACACTTACTTCTTACTTACCTTTGAGGCCCTTCATCTGTCTGTCTGAGGCTGAGACAAGAATCCTCTGTTTGCCATTTTTCCACTAACTTGTTACACCGTTTGCTTTCCCCAATCGTATACCAACTTTGTGAGAGACAGAAAGAGATGGGACAGATTGGATGAATTTTGCGAGGAAGTGGAAAAGCCAGAGATGGATAAGGAGGAGAGAAGGGAAAATGGGAACTCGGAAGTGTGAAACATTCCTATAAAGTGTTCCCTTCTTTTTTTATGGTCTCCAGTGTGCCATATGGAGCTGCTGTCCCTTTTTAAAAGAGCATTCAACTTCCAAGGCGCCGCCAATCTAGCATCCGCCCCACTGAACCCCAAAGAGACCTACACTCAACTGACACACAGCACATGTGTCTGCTAGCAGGGGCCCCACGGAAAGAGGAAAAAAAAGAACATGCAGAAGAGCATGGGAGATGGGAAATGTGGTGTTGTGGAAGAGGAAACCTCATAAGCAGAAGTTTATGCACATTTAAGGGGTAGTGCAAGAAATTTCATCAGCTTCAATAAACAGAACCGTAGCAGAAAAAACTGAAAATCTTTAAACAAAGGTTAAAAGTGCTCAATCATGAGATGAGGTCAGTCATAAAATGAGAAGGGTATGGTTATTTATTTGGTTGCTCACCAAGACGGAGCAGAGGGAGTGAGGAAGTGAAGTAATTGCAAACACACTGGAGTCTGTTCCTAATTAGGGAAATGCAGGGAACAAAAGCGAGATGGAAAGATTCAGCAGACAGACAGATAAATATGTACATATGTATATAAAAATGAAGGGGGGAGGGTGGAGATGGAGCTTGTACATCATTTGTTTTGAAATGTTTTGAAGCCTTGGTACCATCTTGCATACTTTTACTGTGACCAGCATATTGTTCTCTGCAGTTGTTTTGTGTGAAAGGCCTAGTAACCAACAACGGTGGCAGCTGTCCTATTTTCATTAGAAGTGGGAAAGCCACAGCCTCTATGGAGGCAGCCACAGAGCGACACCCAAACCCAAATCAAGCTCCCTGTTTAAAAATCATTTTTCGTCCTTACAACACAGATCTGCACTTAAGCCAGATTTATGGAAACCGCTTATGGTATATGAACCAATGTGGACTCTGTAGATAAACACACACAGATGTACAGTATGTACTTGTTTTACTTAGCTGCATTAAAACTTTACATCCATGCACATTCAGTTACTCCACACAGTTCTTTGACTCCTTCTGAAAAACATTGTGGAGATGTAAAAGATGATCGCAATTCTTCTCCCCTCTTTTCTGCCACTTCATCTACAATGTATTTGATTTTGACACGTTTGAATTGATGACTGGTTCATGTTATTCAATATACACATCTTTTTTTCTTGCGGCTGCTCCCTTCCTTACGCGTTGCCGCAGAAAGCTAACTTGCAAGAAATGCACACGATGTCTAACATTGGGAAATTAATGTTATACAGGTCTTGTTTAGCTTTAACTTTTGCACTTTCACAAAACACTTCAAGTTAGGACTGAGACACCTTCTGACCATCTAAATGTGATTTCTGAACGGACTACGGCGGCATGGGTGTTTAAAATCAACTCACCACTGTTGCTATTTTGAACTGCCAAGTTAGGTTGAAACTGAGTCTTAGCAGTCAATATATGGAAAGATAAGCCAGCTTTGTTGCTGAAGGATGTGATGTAGTGATGACATACAGTCTGGGTGACCACCCAACCGAGAGATTTGCAAGCATAAACAACAATAAACAGATTCATTACCAAGGAGCAGCTTTGCGTTTAGTTCAAAATGGTTAACCACAGAGGATTGCTAAACAGGTCATATGCTATGTTTTGATAATTGTCTGAAGGAGACGTTCATCGCACATTCAATGTCTAGTGAGTTGCATCATTGTAGCTACTGCTTCACACCTTTTGTGGTTCTGCAAAGCTTGCTTCATTTCTGAAATCTCACATCTATGCAGGATGTGGTGGCTCAGTAGTTTTGGAATGGTCAAAGAAGCTTAAAGACAGACTTTGTGGCCATTTTGTGGAACAATATTTTTGAACTTGTTGCATCATACTGGTAAATTAAGTTAAATTAACTCATTTTTACTAATGTTTTTTATTTTATTTTATTTGATCGATAGGCAAATCTTCCCCTGCTACAGAGGGAGTTACTCCACTGTGCACGGGCAGCCAAGCAGACCCCAGCTCAGTACCTGTCCCAGCATGAGCACCTCCTACTAAGCACCACTCTGACCTCTTCTCCAGACTCCTCTGAGCTCCTGATGGAACCTCCTGAGCCAGGCAACAAGAGACACAGCCCCAACAGGTTAGATACAGTAAATAATAGACTATGATTACTTGCTAGAATCATTCATAAATCTAGTCTTCAACTGAGATTTGATGTCTTTTGTTCAGAGTTAAAGAGAACGGTTTCCATGAACGCCCACCAGTAGCTTTGGAGCCTGCAGCAAAAAGGATTTGCACCATCAGCCCTGCTCCTCGACACAGTCCTGCCCACCCTGTGCCCCTCACTGCCCAGCTTCACCCTACCCCTCCACCCCTGCAACACTATGCTCTAGATGACATCGTAGCTCCACACATCTTGCACCGAGAGCACAGCCAACGTGTGCTGGAGATCCGTGAGCTCAAGGACAAGCCCAGGCTGCCTGGTAGGGGATGAATGTCGTCTTTGCATCGTTGGTAAAAAGATAAATGTTGTACTTTTACAGAAAGATATTTTAAGACAGTACTTTCTACCAGGCTACAGGTTATGACAATTACTGACATCTAGTGGTCAAGTGGAAAATAACAACAACCTCAAACACTACCATTAAACCACTGTATGCCATTAAACAGCTGCCAGACCTTGTTGCAGATTTTATTTATCTGTATTGGCATATCTATTTCAGCTTCTCTTTTCTTTTAGTTTGCATCCTTTTTGGTGCATTTAATCTTGTCATGTCATAATGCTCATTTGAAGCATGTATGGCTATCAAAAGGCTTCTACACCTTAGAAACAATTCCCACATATCAGCAACAAGTGACTGCTGATATTTCTAAGCAATTAATTAAGCAACCTTAAAGTCATGGAAAATATGCAGACCGGGCAACACGGCTGTGGAGTATTCCTTTTTCTTTTCATCACATTTTGTTATATAAACACTAAATGGACATATAAATGTACCTTATTTAGAATCAACTTCAGATTTAATAATAATAATTACTAAAAAACATAATAACCAATTGGATAAAGTGCTAAAATGTTTTTGTTCAACAAACATTGTCGGCATCTTTTTATAACTTGTGTAAGTACCGGTACTAAAAACGGTTCCTTCACAGTAGCACAAATTTAAGTAGAAAAAGGTGCTCCTTAGAAATTACCACATAAAAAGATACACACATGCACACAGTGGTCTGTACACAACAATGGGTGGTCTGTGTGTTTGTGTGCCCTGGTTCATTATATCTCTGGAGACCAGATATGCACATAAACAGAGCCATACTGTCCAGGCAGAGAGTTGGTTCTACTCTGGTGTATATCTGCCCTTCATTTGGGGATTGTCAACACTCAGTGGAAACAGCAGTAGCTCACACGTGCACACACACACACCAGTGCCTTGCATGCATAGACACATACACACCTTGCTGTGTTCGGGGTAGAGGTGCTGTTTTTATGAGGCCTTCGTCTGTCTGACGGCTTCCCACCCGCCTGACGCCACTTAACTTGCAAGCACACACACACACACACACAAGCACATCAGTCCACACACTCGTAGCTTTGAACTGATGAACACTTATGACAACCAGAAGTAGGGAAGATGTTGGAGAAAGCAACCGTGTGTGTAGATGTGCGATAATGACTCTTCTCCTTGGCCGTTTCTTACCAAGATCGAAAAAATCGTGGCTTCCATCTTAGCGCAGTGTGTAGGTGTGTGTGTGCTGACGCAGATTCTGTTTGGGAACATGGTATCAAGATGTTTCTAAGCTTCTGCATGAGTACTTCCCAGTATGTGCAAACTATTATTTCACTTCAGTGGATAATTAGATATTGCTTAAGTCCTGCAGTGATTGGAATCAGACAGTTGTGCGCACGTGTGTTTGTGTGTGTGTGTTTCAGTGATCCACGATGAGTGTCAGGCCGGCTGGTTGTGTTTAGAAGTGGAGCCACTCCACTCAGCCTGAGTGTCTCCCTACTGGAATGCTGTGAGCTCCAGGAGGGGAGGTGCTCTGGGAAAAGTGTGTGTCTGTTTGTGTGTGCGGTTGACAGCTGACTTCCAGATGTGTGCAGGGAGTCTGTTTTGCATCACAGGCTTCCCCTTTTCCCTTTCACTTCACTTTTGTTGCCTACTGTCCCAGGCAACTTTAGCGTCTTATTTTCCTCTGCAGTAACCTCACATCATTCCTGTCAGACTTAATATTTTTGAAGAAAGCAGTTGCCTTTTCAGATTTTTAGGTTCTGGTTCTGCATGAATAAAATTTATACAGGGTTGATTTGATGCTCTGATATTTGTTAGATTAGATTATTCATACAGAAACCTGGTCTTTCACACGCTCACTGTCACTGGTGGCTTTCCCTTCAGCTGAAGGAACGTTCATCACGTTGGTCAGCTGTCTGTCATGTGTGTGTTTTAATCAGGCACCAATGGGGGCTACCGAGAAGAGCCGGTGGACCACAGACTGACTGACAGAGAGTGGGCTGATGAATGGAGGCATCTGGATCATGTAAGTCCACAGACAGGCACCGCTGCTGCTAATGGTTTGTGATAAAGGAGGAATGTAATTTGTTTTACTACTGGGGTCTTTAGCAGGAAGGTTTCAGCTTTTCACAACTAGAAGGCGGTAATGAAATGGCATCTCTTCCTGATAAGGCATCAAAGGCGTATGACTTGTAAATGTATTTTTATAAATGGTTAGGCCTGTCGCAATAAACAATAAATCAATTAATCGCATGATGAATGAAAATTATCGACCTCATTTTCATTTACCAGCTTTAAAGTTTCTTTGTGTCTCTCTCTTTCTACCGAAGACACGGCTCCACTCCGGTGCTCTTCCCTGACCCCTCTCTTTCGCTTTTCTCTTTAAAATCTGTTTCCACAATCGCATTTTTGGATTGTTAAAAGCAGCTAAGTTGAGAAGCTAAGCTACGAGCTAAGCTAACAGGCCGACCTCGGGAATAAACCTCCGTCTTATCGAGCCCCAAATTTCACGGTTGAAACCCGTGCCTTCGTGTAAAAAGCAGTTTTTCTCTGCAAAAAGAAGCTGAGAACTTTACTGATTTTTTTATTAAAATCTTTGTGTGAAAAATTCTACGCTAAAGAGCTCAAACCACTGAGCATCCGCCATGTCACCATGTCAACCCATGTCACGTCAAGGGCCTTCCCTCCCATTTTTCTTAAAAGAGACACGCTGCGCAGCTATCCATCCTTTGGTTCAAACAGTCTTATACTGCCATCAGGTAGTCAAAAAACATATTACACTCCAAACAAATCAACATTTCTTCTAAAATTTAAATTTCAAACAATATTATCGTTTATCACAATAATTTCTGAGACAATTAAATCGCCCAGCAAAATTAGTTATCATGACAGGCCTATAAATGGTGACATGAAACGAGTGGCACAAAGCCTTTTTTTATCAGTCGGTAAAGGTTTATCTTCGTCTTGTAGGTGTTGAACTGTATTGTGGACATGGTGGAAAAAACCCGGAGGTCAGTGAGTGTGCTCAGAAGATGCCAGGAAGCAGATCGGGAGGAACTGAACTACTGGAGACGCCGTTCAAGCGAGCAGGAAGAGTCGCGCAAAGGAAGCTCCGGCTCGGCTCCGTTTTCCAAGACACACAGCCCCCACACAGCAGAGTCGGGTCAGTACCCTTTACATTTAATACATTTGTGTGTCATATGAAGATGGAAAACATTGTTTTTATATTTCCATATTTGTTTTTAGTAGACCAAATGTTTACTGTGCAGTGATTTTAGCATAAATTTAGAAAATAAACTCGAATCAGGACAGAGGTGTTTCTTTATCATACTCATCACACCATCTAGTGGCTGGGAGTAGAATTGCACGTGCAAAGTGTCGGTGTGTTATAGTCCTTCCACAGTTAGTCCCCCAGTCTGCCATGTACTGGCACTGTTCTCTCTGTGTGCCAGCCTTGCCGTCCCCCTGCTGCTCCATAGTCACAACAGGTGCCAGGATTGGCCTCCGCCATATCGGCCACAGAAGGGCCGTCCTGCCGGCTCAGAGACCCAGAGCTGGTTGACTCGCCAGAGGACCATCTGGGCCCACAGCCGGAAAGCCTGACTGCCTGGGCTCAGGCCACAGAAGTGGGGGTGTATATGAAGGCTTTTTGGATGAGAAGAGATTTAAATGAAGGGAAAGAAGGACTGAAATGAGGAGACCTGACATGAGAAATGGGCGAGAAGAAAATGAGCCAGTCAGCAGCGCTGTAAAGACAGCAACACAGAAGTGAACGGAGAGTCAGGCAAAGAAATCTGACAGAACAGTCAGTATATTGACACATCTTGTTGGTATGCTGTTTTCTCTGTGCCAAACACATTCCTGTCTGAAGCTGTCAGATCTCAGATCAGTCCAAGAATCTGACAACCAGCAATTATGTTGGTTACGTGCCCAAAAGTGCAAACGTGTTTGCATCTGTTACAAAATTACCAACTTGATTAAAAAAAAAAAAAGTTCATACATATATATGAGGCTTTTATATCTTGACTGAGCTGCCAATCTGAAAGACAGCCAATAATAATATAAAAACGACAACATCTCTTTCTTTGTAAGTTCTGGCTGGTGTTTATATCCTCTTTGTGTCTTTCCCTCAGACTCTCAGCGTGAATTTGCACCACGGCCAGGCTCAGCATACGTTACAGACGAGATCTGGAGGAAAGCTGGTAAAAAGAAAACTGCCATTAATGTTAATTATTGTCAAAACCTAGTTATTTTAAACACAAAAACAACCGGATTTATCAAACCGCTCTATACTAGACACATACTGAAATCTTCAAATACTTGTTTGTCCTCGTTTGCAGAAGAGGCAGTGAATGAAGTAAAGCGTCAGGCCATGGATGAAGTTCAGAAAGCAGTGGCAGAAGCTGAGCAGAAGGCTTTTGAGATGATTGCAGCTGAGCGTGCAAAGATGGAAAAGACTCTGGCTGAGGCAAAGCGGAAGGCTCAAGAAGATGCCATCCTGGTCATCAATGAACAAGAGGATTCTAGTGAGGTGAGCAGCAGAGAGTAAACTTCCTGAATACATTAAAATGTTCAGGTAGTTCTGCTTGAATGAATGCTGAAGTCCTGATGTGTTTACTAAATGTATACATAGGCAAGTGTTTGTTCATAAAGTCACCATAACCAGATGATTGGCTCAGATCTTCTGTTCCAGAACAAGTGTTTATAGAGTTAGTATGAACAATTACTGTATGTATTCACTCTGTTCAGGAGGTGAAGAGCAAAGGTGATTATCTGTCATTCTAATACTATGATTTAACATAAGTGTGAGTGTGTGCAGTTCTCCCCTGAATTCACTCTCTGTGTGTTTTAATCACTTGATTTAATCGTGTCCATCTGTTTATGTGGGAACAACCAAAAGCTGATATTTCCCTTAGCGGCGACTGTTGGGAGACTTCTTGGTGGAACAAAAGCCAAAGTTAAAAGACGATTGAAATCAAACAACTACTGAGCCTAGAACTGGACGATAGGGCCAAAACTTTTATCACAATATATTTCTTAATTTTGGTCGATAACGATGTAATTCCGATATCGATATAATATATCGCCTCAGAAAACCAATACAAACTGTACAAATAAATTAATGTTCACCTTTTATTTGTATTTAACTTAAAAAAAAAATTTGAAATCACTGTCAAATAAACATAAAACTCTCAACTTTGTCAATATTAACAGTTTTAACTTTAAACAACAACATTACCCACACGGGAAACGTCTGCGTTTGATACAGCAGGGGGTGTTGTTTCAGGGACACGTTGGCTCAAGCTTTTATTGTGCTTCATCTTCTGACTCTCAGCATATTCTGTCAAATGGAACAAGTTAGATGTGCTCCCACCGCTAGTTGGAACGACTCTCCGTCACATGTTGCAGCACACCGAAACCTGCAGTTTATCCGATCTTAGATAGCCGAACCCCTTCCACACCGCCGAATTAGTCTTTCCTCTTTTACCAATGATGTCATCTGCTTTCTCTTCGTTTGTGAAAGCTTGTTCAGTCACATTCTGACAGTCATGGGCACTCGTTTTGAAACAAAAACTTACCGCATGTTGTAGATTAGCCTAGCCTGCTACCGCTGACTCCTACTGGACTTGAGCTCTGTGTGTGGTGCACGTCACCGCGCACTTACGTACTTTATAGTTGTGTTGCGGCTTTTTCTGTTCAGAGTGAACAGAAATGCTAACCGCTGCCGCTGTCGGTCATTTCAACCCCAACAGAAAAAGAAATGTCAGTGAAACGCTGTAATCATAGTGTGATGTATATTGAAATATTGAAAAACTCATACTTTTATTCAATAATGGTGATATATCGTGATATATATCGATTTTGAATTATTGTCCAGCCCTAACTGAGCCACATGGCCATTTTCTGATAGCCATGGTCTATTTTTGTGTGCACGGCTTGTAAACCCATTTTGTTCTCAGTGCACTTTATTTTGCTGTCCACTTCCTCCCACATCGTTCTGCTTTATTACTACTTTGGCAGCCGCCCCTTTGATTTAATGATTTATTTAGCTGAAGAACTCTTTTAAAGAGAAGATTTGAACCAGATTTTCACAAAGTGATTATTTATCAGCATGTTTTTTTAGACTTAGACAATTGTCTTAAGATGTTTTCTGTCAGAGTGCACGTGTTAAATATACAGTACAACTCTAGCACTTTTGAGATAGGGTGTGCATCTGTGGTTCACACAAGGAAGCTGAGAACTCCCACGATGTTTGGGAGATATTTAGGAGACTCCTTCATTGGCTCCCTGGCAAATCCAGGATTGAATTCAAAATCTTACTTCGAACCTACAAAGCTCTCAACAACCTAACTCCATATTATATTCAAGATCCTGTTTCATATTTTCCTAACAGCGCACTACGCTCTCAAACTGCAGGCTCACTCGTGGTTCTTAGAGTTTCCAAAAGCAGAATGGGAGGAAGATCTTTCAGTTATCAGGCTCCTCTCTTGTGGAACGAACTTCCAGATACTGTCCATGAGGCTGACACATTGTCCAGTTTTAAGACTGGGCTTAAGACTTTCCTTTTTGATAAATCCTATAGTTAGGTTGGTTTGTTATGCTGCTATAAGCTTAGACTACTGGAGGACAAATTGACCTAATTTCCTTAAATGATTTGCTAAAATTGAATAGTTTTCATTTGATACTAGTTCTATCTTAACATGTGATTCTTGACCTGCCATTGTGTATCTGTTCCTTCTAAACCCAGCTGGTTGAAGCAGATGGCCACTTGTCCTGAGTCTGGTTCTGCTGAAGGTTTCTTTCTCACGAGGGAGTTTTTCCTTTCCACTGTCTCCTTCATGCTTGCTCAAGATGAGAGTTCTGCGATGGAGTTAAATTCAAAGCAGTCTGCTCCTCAGATAAATAATGTTAAATTATTATTTTTAAATGTGAATGTTTCTGTTCAGTGCCCTGAGATGACTTCTGTTGTGACTTGGTGCTTTATAAATAAAATGAATTGAACTGATCAAGTTCATTAATATCATTCACCAATGACTCGGTAGTGAGATACCACCTAAACGCGACTTAAAGAACACCTTATCTTTGCAGCCATATCGCAGAATGAGTATTTCGCAAACACATGGTAGAAGCAAGCTCATAAACCTTTGATTAGACTCGGTATTAAGTTTCATGACGTGCAATTTAAAAGGGTTTTTTAGCTCAAACTGATATCTTGTTTACGTGGCTCCTTTTCATCCTGTTTTAGAGCCTCGGCATCAGTCACCCTCATAAAACGTGTTCCTTCAGAGTGAAAGATCACACGCTGGATTTATGAAGCTGTCACTCTTTTTTTGAAAACTAAAATCTTAAAGTTTCCTTCATAGCGCTGAGAAAACTTCCACCAAACCCACTTTTTTTTTTGGAACAGACCTCGGAATATCTGAGTTCCCGTCTTGTGTTTACTTTAGTTTGACAGATAGGAAAACAAAATCATTTATGTGGTTTAAATGTGCACTTTTTCTCATGATTGTGACGAAAGAAGCGAATACACATTAGTTTGTGGGAAAGAAAGAAACATGATTTCTTTTTTCTTCTTCTTCTTCTTAGTGTTGCTGGAACTGTGGCCGTAAAGCTAGCGAGACGTGCAGCGGCTGCAACGCGGCTCGCTACTGCGGCTCCTTCTGCCAGCACAAAGACTGGGAAAGACATCACCTGATCTGCAGCCCTGGACTTCAGGCTCAGCCCAAACCGGTCTCCGCCATCACTGCGAGCAGAGTAGCTGCTGTCACTGCAGCGGCAGCTGGAATGTCTCCCGTCGGTCTAGCTGGAGTCAAAGCTCCTGACAGCGTGCCGTCAGTCTCCAGTCCAAATGGAGAGAAGGCGTCGGTCGCTTCTCGCTCCTCCACTCCATCCACCCCTGCCTCAGCTTCTGAGACCAACGGACATTAGCACGAGAGGGATTTCAGTGGTTAGCACATCATCGATCCTCTTCCCTAACTGGGGGAGAGTTGAATCAGCGGCATGAGGAAACTATTTGTGGGTGAAGTTAGGATAGCAGATTTTTTCATCGTACTCTGGCAGATAAAAAAAGACAGACTATGGAAGACTGTTTTGAGTGATACATCAACTGGGACTTTGGTTTTGGCAGAGAACAAAGGGACTGGTTCTGTAAGCATCCATTGGATGAACAGATCTCCATAACAGATGGAAACGTGTTTCTTGTCGTCCAAAAAGCCCAAATCCTGGATCTGTGAAGGCTGGAAAGAAACTCATGATTGATCTCGGTTTATCTGTGTCTGCAGAAAGAAAGTTCTGAAAGTAAGGCGAATAACTCCCGCGCCCACAAACCAGTGTCCCTCCCTCTGTTGTGTGTAACTTTAGGACGTGGAGGTTAGCGTTGTAAACAGTGTAACGTTACCAGCCCTGAAGCATCTGTCTGTGTTGTGTAGGAAAACTCTGACGGTACCTGGGACCGATCCTCTGTGTACAGAAATATGTGCTCACCAACATGTCTGATTTTCATGTGCGTGAATGAGTCGAACGTTGTGCTGTCGGTGATTATTGTAAAGCATACGATTATTTTTGTTAAAGCAATATTAAAATGAACTGTTCAGGTCTTTCGAGCTGTTTCTGCGTCACCAAAGTTTTCTCTTGCTGTCGTTTCCTGTTTGTGTCTTTGTGAACGAGAGATTTTAACGTCATAAACTGTTTTTAATACGTTTTAACTGGGAATTTTGCTCGTTATTTCTGATCTTCAGCCATGTTCAAACGACAGAATTGTTGGTTTGCTCGAGTATAAGCACAGAAGCATTCGGTTATGACTTTCGTTCTGGGGAACGTTTCATTCTGGCCTTGCTCGCACCATCAGCTGTGTATGACAGGGTTGCGCCAAATCTTTCACTGCAGTTTGTTCGTGAGCTTTTTCATTTGTCAAAATTAGGCCTGTCACGATAACAAATTTTGCTGGGCGATTAATTGCCTCAGAAATTGTTGCGATAAACGATAATATTGTTTGAAATTTGCCCGTAATTAGTAATTATTGTCAAATTTAAGAAGAAATATTGGTTCATTTGTTTTGAGTGTAGTACTTTTTTCGACCACCGGATGGCAGTATAAGACAAAACTGAAGGATGGATAGTGAGGGAGCGAGCCTCGTGTCTCTTTAAGAAAAATGGGAGGGAGGCCTCTTGACGTGACATGGGCTGTCTCCTTCATTTTTTCGGTTCTCAAAATGGCGGACGCTCTGTGTGGTTTGAGCTCTTTAATTAGCATAGCATTTTTCACACAAAGCTTTTAATAAAAAAAAATCAGTAAACAAGTTCTCAACTTCTTTTTGTTTATTCCCTGAGGTCGGCCTGTTCGCTTAGCTTGTAGCTTAGCTTCTCCTGCTTTTAACGATCCAAAAATGCAATTTTGGATTGTTAAAATAGATTTTAAAGAGAAAGGGAGGGGTCAGTGAAGAGCAACGGAGTTGAGCTTTTTGTCATCCAGTGTCTTCAGTAGAAAGAGAGAGACACGAAGAAATGATAAAGCTGATAAATGAAAATGAGGTTGATAATTTTCATTTATCATGCGATTAATTGATTTATTGTTTATCGCGACAGGCCTAATCAACATATGTTTCAAAACTTAGTAAACTGTTCCCAGCCAGAAACGTCTCATTGACGCCTGTACCGTGGTGGTGCAGGTTCAGAGCAGCCACTCTTTCCTACAGATCTCAGGAGCTAAATTTTACTTTTATGTACAGATCTTTCTTGCTCTTTTGTCCCAGTTAGGTTCAGTTTTAGTGAGTGAACTTTGATTTAGCATACTCTGCTGGTGCAACTGAGATATTCTTGTTTTTGCTCGTTGTAAGAAGACTTTGTACAAAAGATTATGAGAATGCCTTTATTTTGAGCCACGCCCACCTTCATTCTTTGAAAATGCTTCTTCGTTTTGAGGCATACCTTCGTATGAAAAGCTTATCTTGACATGAAATATGGATTAAAGAAGTTGGGTTACTTCAAACACGTTTTCTCGTTTGTATTTGTCTTTCTTTTAAAGAATAATCGATTCAATACTTTATTCTTAACACTGCGAGAACGAAGAGTGAAGCATAAGTCCAGCCAGAAATACAATTTATATGAAAATCTCAAGAATTACATATAAAAATAATCCATTTTAAACCCAAAACAAGCAGAAAGATGCTCAGTTGAATCATCAGATGGAGCGATTTTCAAAGTTGGGGTCAGGAGGACCCCATAGTGGGTTGTGAAACCCCAAGTGTTAATCCTCAAATTAGATAAATGCTCTGTCGCCTCACTTCAAGAAGGTCACAGGTTCTCCCCTCGGTCTTTCTATGTGGATTTTACATGTGCATTCATGGTTTTCTCCTGATACTTTGGTTTCTTCCTGCAGATCATAAACATGCATATTAGGATCATTGATAACTAAATAGTCCCTTGGTGTGAGTGAAAACATGAGATGTGTGTCTATGGGACCCTGGGATAGATTTGTGAACTGTTCAGGGCGTCCTCCATGGCTTCACTGCTGGAGTGAGGCACCAGTTCCTCCGAGGCCCTGCATTGAAAAACAGGTAAAACGTTAAAATAAAACTAGGTGGATGGATGGATAAATAAAAAGTTTAGCATGAGTGATATTACATTTTTTTCAATAATTTGTAAAAAACAAAAAAAAAAAACATGAAAAGCAGTAGTAATGAATAGTTACATTAACAGTTGTAGAGGCTGTTTGTGCTGCCATTGTATTCTTGATAAAGTGATTTATTAGCGATACATGTACAAAGTACATTTCATTGAGTGATAGTTTGGTTCACAAATCTCTGCTGCTGTTAGTTTGTGGATCAGAAGCTGGAAATGTTGGGAATAATTGTTCTAATATGTCAGTTTTGTAGCACTTTGTTAATCACATTTGGTTGAGCTAAAATACAGTTTTATTTTTATTAGTCGAGGCATTATTTTTTTTTAGCAGCTTTCAAAGAATGAACAGAATTGAGAACAAACTGTCTTTGTGACAAGCGGAAAACAAAATGCTTAAAGAGCCCGATAAAAACAGATGTTTTGTTATGTGTAGACACAACAGACTTTTTTAATGCCTGAATGATTCACAGGTCATACATAAGGGTCTAAATAAACAAGAACATCAGAAACCCTCTGAAAATGCTCAGGTGTTAGAACAAAAAGCAGCCAAAATATCAATGCATGTGAGAAATACTCAAAACTTTTGAACAGTGCAAATACTGCAATTAAATATAAAAATAAATGCTTTTGCATTTTATTTTACACAACGTTTCGATTAAAAAAAAAAAAAATTACGTTGACGACTAAATGCATTTGTGTCTATTTTAAAAGAACTCCAACAAAATTGCTAAGAAACAAAAAGCCAGAGAACTTAAAAGGCTGCAATATGAGGCTGGTTCCATCAATAATAATAACCCACATCAGTCGCTAAATTTGGCATCCACATTGTTCCTCTAATGGTATAAATCATTCAGCTGCTCCTTATTAAATATTCAAGAGACACCTCGGATTTTCTCTATGAAGAAATCCAAAAGCTTTTTGTGATTGCATTATCTTTAACAGACTTTGAAATCACATCCCAATGAAAAGGTTCAGGTTCTTATGTCTAAATAACAGTTTGAATAATCTAAATACTTTTATTTTAAAAACGTATATATTTTTTGGTTGGTGCTGATTTACTTTAACAGGTATTTTACTCATTTTCACGATTTTTTTGCATCAAGAAACAAAATGTCAGTCAAAGAACTGCAGCTCTGTGTAATATCATGTGTTACCACAAGGGGGCAGTAAAAGCTAAATGTTGATAGGTGAAGTACTTCTGGAAGGAAAGAAAAATGTGATGAATTCAAGAAGCATGAAACAAGTGAACAGTGCAGAAATCGAAAAAAAAAATGAAATATGCTTCCCACACTAGGAGAAAAAAATAATTTGAGATTAGTAAAACAAATATATCTGTCACTCATCCATTTGAATTAAACAATGCAAACCATTGATTATTTTTCAAGTTCATCATGGCATGTTTGACATGTTTTGCATTAAAATATTGCTTTGCAATAAATTCAACTAAAACCAGAACTCTAAATCTAGATTAAAAAAATTCAAAACAAAAAAGATGCTGGTAGATTAGACTATATGAAACGCCCTAATAGAGAAACAACAACAACAACAAAAGGACAATAATTCATTACTTGATAAATCTTTGTATGAACGGTGATAAAGAAGATAGCATATGAGTAACATCAGCAAGTGTTTCTGTGGGGTCCAGTGGACCCAAACATGCCAGAAATATGAACTGGATCTGTGAAGGAAAACTAAATCTGGATAATACAAAGTAGTTCATGATGATATGATGGATTGAAATTGCTGTTTAAATAGCAAAAACAGTGAATTATCTAGTTCACAACCATAAAGTTCCCCTCTCTGACCTTCAATCATTAAAAAAATATTTTAAAAAATCTCTGTCAGTGTCTAACTCAGTCACGTTTCTGGCAAACAAAATGCTAAAACATGGTAATGCTGATCATGAGCTGGTGCGGAAAGGAAACATGACTCATCTGTTTTCTAGATGAAATTGTGCAAAAAATATGTGTAAAACAGGACTGAAGCTTTTGTTTTTCCCTAGAGATGATGAATGGACTCAAGTAGGACACAAACAGTTTAAAATCCAATCTATTTTTTTTTTCCTGTGTTAATGTTCATTTATACCCAAAATGCTGTTGCGTCTCCTGCTTTCATCTGACACTGGTGAAACTTTTCTGTGCTCTCTTGTTTTGTTCAGTTCTGTGTTGCCAGTAGAACATTTTAGTTGATCATGGTTGAGCCAACGAGCAGAAGTGGAGTCAGACAGTGACAGTTGTGTTTATGTTCATGTTCCACTTTGTGTTTCATGGTGATTAGCAGTTTGTCTCACTGGGCAGTACACTACTGCTTGATATTTACAGGCAAAAGTTGATCATAATATCTGTAAAATATTTGTCTGATTGTGTTGAGTGTCTGGTATAATTCTGGCTTTTATTAGAGCTTTTACTTAATGAAGACTAAATAGTCTTATTAGTTTGCCCTTGCTTTTAAGGTTTCTATAAACTGAAGCAAAAAATACGCAAAACAGCAAAGACAAAATTATTCCTCTCATTCTTCCTTCACTTATTGCTTTTATGTAATCTATTACCGCACAGTGTCTGTAGATTATCCAAGTTCTTACTTCACAACAACTCAGTCATTTCAGTGACAAACTGTGGAAATGGTTTGTTAACTGCTGCTCTGAAAGTTTTTTTTTCTCAATGTATTTGTGATATTTACGTTTTCTCCATGTGGTTTGTTATCCTGTAATTTGTTCATATTCTGAGTCATCGGTTTTTCATGTAACGGTGGAAGATTGATCTAATAACAAAACAATTAACAACAAAATCAAATAATGAGAAACTTTTAATATTGGGGCCTTGTGCGATGAACAGGATAAGGAAATGACTCGGATGCAAAAATAAGGACTGAAAAATGAGTTAAGAACAGAAAAAGTCCAATTGAAAGGATTATGTAATCTGCAAAGAGCTGAAGCGTAAATTGTTTTTTCTTTTTTCTAAGAATGAGATAAGTTTGAGTCTGATTCACAGCAACTTATCAAAGAGCTCCTGTTTTAACAAAGCCGTGACCTCTCATTTGGAACTATAATTGTTCATCTGTTGTAAAGTTTAACAACTCTTGAGGTCGCATAAATAGCCACTTAACTAACATTGATTCACACCCAAATTTCA